TCGATTCCTCAGCACCACATAAGCAAAAAGAAAAAAAAGCCAGAAGTGGCGCTGTGGCTCAAGTGGTAGAGCACTAGCCTTGAGCTGAAGAGCTGAGGCACAGTGCCCAGGCCCAGAGTTCAGGCCCACAACCGGACCCCCCCCCCAAAAAAAAAGAAAGAAAAAGAAGTGAATTACCTAAAAATATAGCTAAAAAATAGTAGGTACACAAAGAATCTGAAACTAGTTTCAACCAGATTTCCAAGTCAGAGTTTGACATCAACATGAAATATATTTTACTAGTCCATAATCTCAGAGACAAAAGGAATTTCATCTCTCATCTACCACTCTATATTTAGTTAGTGGAGGCCTAAGTTAAGGTTGGTTATTTATATCAATGACCACTGCTATGCATGGGGTTGGAGTAAAAGATCCTTAATGTTTTTTCCAGCTTTTTCAATCCTGAAATGCAAGGGAAAAAAATCTCTCTGATCTTAAACCTGGGTGTGGCACTGCCCTGCTTCAAAGTCAATGGCATCTGACTCAGCTTGGCAACTGAAGAACAGCTGTCAGTCCTCACCTTTCACCCACATACTGCCACTGCTGAGTTAAGGAGGACTCAGGCCCCACTTTTCGCATATACTCAAAGTCCTCTTCTCTTTCCCTCTTCCTTCTACCAAGTTCAGGTACTCCCATTTTATATTGTCTTAGGTGCTGGCCCAGTGTAATTTTCACAGGAAATGATCTTGCTGATAGGGCAGGGTCAGCATGATAATGCGAGGTTAAGTAGCTCCCCATAGCAACACAGGGTCTGGGGAGACACCTGTGATAAGGTGTTCTTTTCCTGGGAAGGAAGTACTTGCCTCAAGCCCCTTGGCTAGGGGATATTTGATGGCAGTTTGGTGAGAAAGAAAGTGAGAAGTTTCTGAGATAAATTTGGAACTTGGCTCTAGGAACTAAATGGGGAATGAGTAGAGAAGACAGTGTAGTTTGGGTTTTAGAATGTGAAGGGAATTTCTATTACTGGGGGAGACCTGGAAATTCAGATGAAGGTTGGGTGGTCAAGGGGAATAAAACAAAACAAAACAGGAAACCACATTTAAGAAAGCACTGGGTGATGGAGGAGGAAAGAAGGATTTATTGGGACTATTTTGATAGGGCTGGAAGATTCTAGGTAAGGTTTTGCAGAAGGTGTGTAGCCTATGCTGAAGGGGACTGAGAATTTGGAAGGGTTCTGGATCTAATCTGAATAAGATAGTTGGAGGGGGTTCTACAGAGTGGTGTCTAGAATTCTGGGAAAGTGGGCTGAGGTTTCAGGGAGTAAAGTGGATGAAGGAAGATATTTTAGGAGGAGTCTGAGTGGGAGGGGTGCTGAAGGTTTGATGGGGGTAAAAACGTTCAGGTGCAGATTGGATTTAGAAGTTAGAATAAAAAAGGTTCTGATGGCTCACGTCTGGCTTCCTAGCTACTCAGGAGGCTGAAGTTTGAAACCAGCCCAGGAAGGAGTCTCTGAGCCTCCTATCTCCAATTAAAAAAAAAAAAGTAGGAAATGGAATTGTAGCTGAAGTGGTAGAACGCCAGGTTTGGGCAGAAAAGATGAAGGATGGTGCCCAGACCCCTGAGTCCAAGCCCCAATACCAACACCACACATACACACACACACACACACGTCCATTGAAGGGTGAAAATGAGGGCTGCTGTGGAGAATGATGGTGTACTAAAACAGCCGGATACTGAAAGAATGGGAAGGTCACACACACACACACACGTCCATTGAAGGGTGAAAATGAGGGCTGCTGTGGAGAATGATGGTGTACTAAAACAGCCGGATACTGAAAGAATGGGGAGGTGACAGACTGTTCTGAGTGGCAGAGCCCTGGGAGAAGCTGAGGAAGGCTACATGGAAAATGGGCCCGTTCACATTTGAGCCAGTCATGAACGTCCTCCTGGGGCCACCCTAGTTGGAGGTTGGTGCTGGAGATATTCAAGTAGGACACTTTTCAGGGAGAAATGTGCGGGACTGGTGGGAAGTTGGGTTTAGTGCAGAGCAATCGGAGAAGGGTTCCAATTGGAGAATCTGAGCACAGGAGGGTTCCGGGCGAGAGCTTGAGGGTGCTGGGGTTTCAGTGCAGAGGATCATGAACGTGACAGGCCTTCCAGGCTGGGGCATGTATGGCTGCCTCCAAGCTGGAAGCTTGAGGGTGGAAGCGGGCTCGGTAGCAGCTTCGCATCATCAGGCCGGGCCGACCCCGAGCTGGCGGCGGGGACCGGGCGGCCGGGCTCACCTGGGCAGACTGTCCTGGTAGTGCATGGTGGGGACGATGCTGTGCTGCAGGTACGGGCCGGGCCCGGAGCCGGCGCTGAGGGTCCGACAAGGGGCAGCCGAAGGTCTCCGGGGCCAGACGCGAAGCAGCAGGCGGGGCATCATCGTCCCGAGGAGAACACGGCGGCGGACCAGGGGCTCTTAGGTCAAAACACAGGCCGTGGCCCTCAGCACCCAGGTCACCGCGACGCGACTCCAAGTCCAGTTGTCTCCGCCCACAGGGCCACTTCCGGCGCGGCAGGGCGGCCCCGCCCACGGGAGGCCCCTCCCCTCCAGCGGGAGGCCCCGCCCATATTAGCCCCGCCCGCCGCCCGGCGCGCCCAGACCTGCCAGGCTTTGGGAGCAGCGACCTCTGGATAACTCGTTTCTCCGTCCAACCCTCGAGGCGGGGACACTCAGTCCTGAGGTCCCTCCCTTCTCTTTTTACAGGGCAAGACAGTCGTGACGCGATCAGAAGAAAGAGTCTAAACAAACCTAGAGTAAGTTTTGATCCCTTAGAGATCAACACACCTCCCATGATTCTAGATTTATTTCACCAAGGTAGTTTGGAATATAAATGGTGGTGTGGTGTTGTTATTGCTGTTGACTAGTAATTCGTGCCTTTCGCCGGAGGGTGGGGGTAGGGGGTAGATCTTTGACATGCAGGCTTTTGGAGAGTGTGGGTCATGGGCTGAACTCGGGGCTTGGGCCTGTCCCTGAGCTTCTGCTCAAGGCTAGAAAATTCTTACCACTTGAGCCACAGCTCCATTTCTTTATTTCCAGCTTTTCAGTGATTAATTGGAGATAAGAATCTCAAGAACTTTCCTACCCAAGTTCGAGCTGCTATCCATAGATCTCAGCCTCCTGAGTAGCTAGGATTACAGGTGTGAGCCACCAGCACCTATCCAGCTGATAGCAAGTTTCTTAGCCACTGTCTGACCCTCAGCTCTGGCTCCGGGCCCTGCCAGCTCAGCCTGGCAGGTATCAGAAAGAATGTGTACAGGATCCAGAAACCATAGTCTTGGAATCTGCCGTTTTGGTTCAGAAAAGCCTCTCTAGGGCAAGAGACCATCCTGGAGAACATCCATTTTCAGCTTGCTCAGTTCCAGACTGGAGGTTCACTGCTAAAAGGAAACAGTTGTCCTCTGGTCCTGAGGAGTCTTACAGGCCAGCCTCCCACAGGACAGGAGGTGGCCTTTCACTACGCACTGCCCTCAAAGCTCCTGCCAGCTCTGGCTGGAAGATTCCACAGTTTAAACATATATCCACCATCCTTCACCCATCAGAAAACAACCACAGAATCGCAAAAAATCACCTCCACCCCATTCCAGTCCCTGATCTCAGCTGTAGCTACCGATCGAGGAGGATCCACTTCCACTTCACAGAAGAAGAGAGGGAGGTATCCGAAGACACACAATTATGCTGTCTGGATTGAGACACAACAGAATTCCATTCTGGAAACTCAACCTTCCTTTGGCACTAGCTCTCAGATAGGACCCAGAGGGTTTGAGGGAGCCAAGTACATTCTGTCCCATAACTAGCTAGTAAGAACCAGGAGCTAGAGCACATCCAAAGGAGCACTGGATTGAGAGTCAAGAGAGCTGAGTTTGGGTCTCAGCTCTGTCCTTTAGTTGCATTACCATGAGTTTAACAGGAAAATTGCTAATGAGCTCCTGCATCTTTCAGTGGTGATCATAAATACTGAAGAGCAAAGCACAAAACTCAAAAATACTGAATATGTAATCCTCCTCCTTTAAAGAAAAACAGGCTTAACTGGCCTAAGTCCAAAACATCAGCACTACTTGCCTGTAGTGCACAGTCAGAGAGAAGATATAAAATCCCTCCTATGAAAGATCAGTTGTAGCTGGACACTGTTGGCTCACGCCTGCAATCATAGCTACTTAGGAGGCTGAGATATGAGGATCATGGTTCAAAGCCAGCCTGGGCAGGAAAGTCCATGAGGCTCTTATCACCAATTAACCACCAGAAAACTGGAAGTGGTGCTGTGGCCCAAGTGGTAGAGTGCTCGCCTTGAGCTGAAGAGCTCAGGGACAGCGCCCAGGCTCAGAGTTCATGCCCCATGACCGACACTCCCCCCACCCAGTCCACCCCCCACCACCAAAAAAAAATCAGTTGTCTGAATCCTAACAGATTTTGGAGGCTTGAAACCTGAGGTAGATATCTGGATCTGTGTAGAACTAAGGGAGTCAGAGGACCAGAGAAATAGTAGACCTAATAGAAGACAATGGCTCAATTCTAAAGACAAGGGCCAAGGAATAGGGCCCATCCAATCCAATGGCTTAAAGATGGTCAGGAAAGCTTTCTGTGGGTACATAGTCAGTAGAAACAAACCTAACCTGAGGCTAGCTTTAGTCCCAGGCCTTTTATATTCTAGGCCCCACGTGCCTCTCCATCATGTCGCCTGAAGAACTCTATGCTGTAGTAACTGTAGTGACATTAAAGGACTCATCATCTTCATACTGGTCTTTTCTCTGTGACCCTACCCCCAGCCCCCCCCCCCGCACCCTGCCAAGTGTTCTCATTACCTAGAATGGCATTTCCATGCATCTCTGCCTAGTAAACTCTTTTTGTTATTTGTTTGCTTGAAGTACTAGAGATTGAACTCAGGGCTTTGCACTTGCTAGATAGGCTATGACTTGAGCCACGTCTTCAGCTTTTTTTGCTTTAGCTATGTTCAAAATACATAACCTCAATTAGGCACAGGTGGTCATAATCTTAGCTATTTAGGAGGCTGAGATCTTAGGATGACAGTTCACAGCTAGCCTGAGCAGGAAAGTCTGTGAGACTCCTATCTCCAATTAACTTTTTTTTAAGCCAGAAATGGATCTGTGATAGAGTGGCTCAAGTGGTAGAGTGTTAACCTTGAGCACAAAAGCTCTGGGACAGAACTCTGGCCCTGAGTTCAAGCCCCAGGACTGGCACAAAAAGAGAAATGCATGACCTCTATGAACTCTTCCTCAATTGTAGGTGAGTGACTGACAGGTGGAGTAGAAAAATGTAGACAGGAGGAGGGATCAAGACAGTTATTCAGTTATTCAGAAGGATGGCCATATATCCTCTCGTGACCCTGGCTGCTGACTAAGATGCTTCCTTCTCCACTCCTGGAAAGGACTCCTTTGAAGAGAAGGGTTTTATCCAGCTGTGCACCTACCTGTAAGAGGAGGGCTTTTTTTTCTCCAGTCTCATCTCTTGTATTGTCCTCTGGCCCATTTTGCCAGGAACTAATTAATGATGGGGTTGTCATTTAAAATAACGAACATTCTGTTCTATGTCTTGGAGAGCTAGTTCCTGAATGATCCTGCTGGAGTGACCACTGACATTAGAGTTAGGCATGATCCTGTACTGAATATGCAATTCTAAAGCCACCAGCACAGAGGAAAGCCCCCACTCAAAGGCAGGACAGCACCACTGTAGTGAGAATGTGGGGCTCATCTAAAAGCTGACTTGAGTTGAAGGTCATGTCATCATGGAGGTGGCGGGCATATGCAACTTCTGACCTGTAACTGGGAAAAATAGAAAGAATAGTGGAGAGATCCTGGATCTCAGAGGACTTCTGTCAGGTATCAACCTAGGATACATTCTCATCTCTATCCTTTAGGACTCATGCTCCAGCCAGACTATCTCTTCACTCTTCTCCAAAATCTTTTTTTTTTTCAGCCGTGGGGCTTGAACTCTGGGCCTAGAAGCTACTCCTCAGCTCTTCAGCTCAAGGTCAGTGCTCTACTACTTGAGCCACAGCGCCACTTCTGGCTTTCTGGTAGTTAATTGGAGATAAGAGTCTCCTGGACTTTCCCGTCTGGGCTGGCTTTGAACTGCGAGCTTCAGATCTCAGCCTGAGTAGCTAGGATTACAGATGTGAGCCACCAGCACCTGTCTTTTTTTTTGGGGGGGGAGGTGGAGAGGGCCTCAGGCTAGGCAGATGCTCTACCACTGAGGTATACTTCCAGCCCCCAACTTTAAACACATCTTTCAAGCTGATGCTGAGTTTTTTCCACAGGACTCAGGAGCCCATGTTGGCTGGCTCACTTCCAGAGGAGGTAGCAGAGAACTAAACATCATCTCTCAGCACCTCCATGGATTGATCAAAGACATCACATCTTTGATCATCCCATGACTGTTCAGAATGGATGCCTAGGCCTGCAGGGTAGAGATCAGGCTGGAAGGCTGGTGACCAGGGGTCACACTTTTACCCAACAGCGCCACTGGGGCCCAGTGTTTCATTGAAGCACAGGCAGACATGTTTCACTGCTACTCTTACCAGTCCACCCTCCTCACACGGCCTCCCCCTCTCCTGTGGGCTCAGTCATGCATGTGCTTTCTATTGTCAAGCTGGACAGGGTGGGGGGATTCCAGGGTGAAGCTCTTGTCTGAGATGATGTACTTCAGATGGACCTGGATTTCTGAAGCATCACAATGGTCCCATCTGTTCATAAAATATTCAAAATGTTAAAGTATCTGTTCCTCAGAACAAAGGGTACAAAGTTCTATTGGTTGTGAAAGTTTGTCTTTCTGGAGCTTGAGCCACTGGCTTATTTTAAAGGCAACATGGAGGCAGTAAGTCTAAATTTAGGAATCTACTAAATAATTTTTTTTCTTCCTTACTTTTTTCCTTCCTTCATTCCCTTCCTTCATTTCCTTCCTTCCTTCCTTCTTTCTTTCTTTCTTTTTTTTCTTTCTTTCTGCATGTTTGCTAGTTGTAAAGCTTGAACCCAGGGCCTAATGCTCTTATTTGGCTTTTTCACTCAAACCTGTTACTCTACCACTTGAGCCACACCTCCCCTTCTGGCTTTTTACTGGTTAATTGGAATAAAAGTCTCATGGATTTGTGTGCCTGTTCCAGTTTCAAACCATGATCCTCAGATCTCTACCTCCTGAGTAGCTAGGATTACAGACACAAGCCACCAGAGCCTGCTGAATAAGCTTCTTAAATATATCAAGGGTCAATCGTGTGGGGAGAGAGGTGAGACCCAAGGTTCTGGACAACCACATCTAAAACACTGTAGGAAATTCAACTTAAAATGGTTGAATTAGCAGTTTAAGCAATTGGCTGCTGAAGTCAGCTCTTGGATCCTTATGGAATGCCAACCATGCTTTTGCAGTAATTCTGGCTGGATTTGTTATCCTTAAAAAGAATCCATGTGTTGGGTGCTAGTGGCTCACTCCTGTAATTCTAGCTACCCAGGAGGCTGAGATCTGTGATTT